AAAATCTGAAGTCACGCACCAGTGTCCAAGAAATTTTGAAAAACAAAAAAATTATTTTTTCTTACAGAATTAAAGAGCATATTTTTGTGAAGGTAATAAAACAAAAAAAATTAGAATCTGATCAGTACTTACCGAGATACAGTGCCAAGAAGTTTGTAGAAAATGATGTGGTGGCGGCAACATCGACGAATTCCACATACGCGTATTATATTATTTTGTTGTTTTAGTTGTTTTTTCTTTTCTTTTCCAATTTTTTTCTATTCCTACTAACATTTGGGGCCTGAGAGACCAATACTGTATATAATTTATATATATAAACTCACTGTATTGAACACAATAACCGCACTAAAGTTATTATCATATTATTGTTTACCACTGTTGTTTATTACAATAAACATGCACAAATATTGTATAATACTAATGTTCTATCATATATTTACATATTTACAATCACTGGACATGGTTTTAGAACTGCTGGAGCTTGTGGAACTCCTTGAAACAAGGAAACCATGCACAGAGGCACCTTACATTCCTCACACATAAACCGAGTGTCTTTGCGTCTTTGTTGCCGTCGTTTTGTTTGTGCACAGACAATGCATCTCTTCTGAGCAAATTTCTTTTGAGTTGAAGGAAGCTGTATTATGAAATGATCACCTTCTCTTCTCAAACGCTTGGGTATATTGTGATGAATTCGAGGACCATGTTGTATTGCAGGTGTTGTTACCTGGTACTTCATTATGAGTTGTCTGACAACAGACAAACAAAATTCACCATACGGTGGTCTGTTACCAGTCTTTATTTGGTACATATTATGCATTCAGCATTGAAATGTCCATGAGATGGAAGAAAAGTTTCATGTACCACTTGTAACTCTTACGAACACAGTCAACAAAACCAATCTGCATGTCACACTTGTCAACCAAGCGCATGTTTTGTGTATAATCAATCACTGTCACTGGTTTTCGAATACGTTCATTAGTCACTCGATCAACTTTGCCACTGTCTTGCATTTCATTACGGTGAATGGTTGTCAACAATGTGACATCTCGTTTGTCATGCCACCGTAATGCCATGATGTCATTGGCAGTAAACACCTGCACGTCATCACCACGAACACCTGCGTTGAGCCTGGGCATATGTTTACGATTAGAACGCACTGTGCCACACACATCTGTCTTGTTCACTCGCATGAAATCACTGAGTAATGGGCTTGTGTACCAGTTATCGGTATATAATGTATGGCCCTTACCAAGATAAGGTGCCATCATGTTTCTCACTACGTCACCTGAATATACCCAATAACATCTTGGTATCTTTCAATGTTTTACTACCCGTGTATACAACAATATCCAACACCAGGCCACTGTCACAATCACAGAGTACAAACAATTTTATACCAAAGCGGTTCCTCTTGCTCGGTATATACTGCTTGAATGACAGTCTACCTTTGAACAAAATCAAAGACTCGTCAATTACAAGATTCTTGAATGGATAAAAGTATATCCTGAACTTTTGTTTGAGATACATGAAAACATTTCTAATCTTGTATAACCTGTCACTTCTGTCAGGCCTGGTTTTGTCAGAGAAGTGCAACATACGTAACAGTAAGATAAACCTGTTCACTGGTTATATTTCACTGAAGGATGGGGTACAAATTAGCCGATCTGTGGACCAGTATGCTTTTATATTATGCTTATAGACGTGAGGCATAAGCATTATTGTTGCAAAAAGCAAATACATTTCTGCAACAGTCGTCTCTTTCCACCTGTGTAGTCTTGACTGTGGTGATAAGATCGTATTTTGCCATGGTGTACTGAAAATACTTATTACTTTCCCTGACAATAGTTTTCCATCAATGGCTGGTCAAAGAATAATTCAAAGAATTCCAGTTCATTGGCCGTGGTTCCAAGGGGACAGGTAGGTAGAATTCCACTTTGCGAGTCATCAAAGTGGTGAGGGCTGGGAACAAAATTGGGATTTTGCTGCCAATCCCAGATACGGTTTGCTGGTGGATACTGGACATCATAGGCTGGTTGTACGGGTGGTTGTGGCGGGCTGGTGGGTGACGCTCCGCTTTGTCCTTGAACTGACGAGTCAGCAGCGTGGGTTTCCCGCGTGGCACAGCGAGTCACGCATGGCGGTGCCACTACCACCACCAGCCCCACTAACACCATCCACTGATGTCTGTGGCCCATCCATGCCAAGTGTAGCCACATCATCCTCACTATCACTACCTAAAACGGGTGTAGGGCCACGGGATGTACTCCGGGATGTACTACGGGATGTACTCCGTCCCCTGGGCACAGCATAGGGTACACTACCCGAGCGCATGCGGCGGCGAACATACCGACGCTTCACTGGTGAATATGTTTCCTCACTATCACTACTCGAACGATCGTCGAGCGCAATAAAATCACAATCCACGTCAGAATCATCGTCATTACTGAAGTCAGAGGCCAGGCCACGGGAAAATATTTAGTTTTCTCTTACGTTTAGGAACACCCGACCGTGAGTCACGAGTGCCCACACCAGAGGTAGAAGGTCGAGGATCGTCGGGGTTTTCTGCACTATTATCGATATCCTGGTCATTATTTTCGGTCACTAACTTATCAAAGCCGTAGAATTCGTCTTCATTTCCACTTCCATCAGTGTCAGAACTATCAGACAGGAAGAGGAGAGTCCCAATTTTCCGGGGAGTGAGAGCTGACTTGCGACGAGACATGGTGAACAAGGGTGACTGAGCCTGCGTTCCCACAATGCTATGCAGGCGCCTAGATTTTTTGTTTATGGCGCACACCCACGGCGCAGACCCGTTCTCTCATATGTAGGCCTATGAGCGCTTTCGCGCTAAATTTGACGGCGCTAGAATTTTGGCGTAGATCTACGGTTTGGACACTCACCGACCAGCCGTAGATCTACGGGACGGACCCTGAAAGGGTTAATGTCATATTGTTTACTGTAGCTCACTTGAAGACCTGGCTTTTATCAGCTTTGAGATTTGCTGTGTCCTCAATGCCTGTTTCTCTCATATACAAATAGTAGTATCATCTGCAAAGGATGATATGGTGGTGTAATTGATGTTTCTGTCTACACTGAATTTGAGAATGTAAAAGAGAATCTAGGTAAGTACTGTGCCTTGATGTATGGTTTTTCACTGTGTCAGCCTCTAATTTTATTTTCTTAACTATTGCTCTTTGGGTTCTATTTGCAAAGTCTCTGTACACTACATCTCTGCATTTTACTGGTCTTCCAGCACATCCAAGACCACATGATGGTCCAGTAATTATGAGAGGCAGGAGTGACCTGTCTTAAAGTCATATTACCTTGGGTTGTGCAGTTGTGAATCCATGCATTTAATAATTTTTTTTTTCAAAAGATTTTGATAATGGGGGCTGTCACTGCTATTGGGTTGTAGTTTTTTGTGATTGCTTTGCTGCCATCTTTGTGGGGTGGGACTATAACTGTGGTTGCTAATGACCGGGATGACTCCTTGTCCAGATTCCATTTCCGTAGAATATTTAATGTTTTTTTTTTTTAAATGACGAATATCGAGTTCCATTAGTCTGGGCCTGGGGCATAGTACATGGTCATACCATCAATGACTTCTTCAAAAATGAGTGGGGTTAGGGTTGAGGGGAATTTATGGAGATGCTGACTGAGTTTTGAGTCTTGTTCAAGAAAAAATTCAATACTGACATGATGGGTAGACAAAAATGCAGTATAATTCAATATTGGGGAGTGTAGTGAAGAATCAGGTGAAGTATGTTGAAGCTAATTTCTTGAGTAGGCTAATGACAGGTTGGACAAATATGGCTGAGAAGAGGTTGGATTCGAGAAAGAGCTGCCTAGCTTGGGCCAGTAGGCCAGCTGAAGTGTTCCTCCATACAATGACCTGTTGCTATGTGGGATAATGATCAAGAAGTTTCCCAGCAAGAGGCTCAGCTATGTTGTAAAAATCATTGTTCTGGTTGAAGTTGTTTGATTTGTAATGATTCCAGAATTGTGTATTTTGAAGTCTTTTCTTTGTGCATTTTGAAGAGTCTGCTGTAAGTTATTTTCTATGCTAGAAAACTCCAGCACTGCTGCAAGTTATGTTCTGTGTAAGAAAACTCCAGTCCTTTTGGAAGTATTCAAATGCTGCATAAGCTATCCATGCACATTGGTGTATCTGATGATAAGAAATATTCCCCCTCCTTCCCACCCTCCTTTTCATCCTCTGGTGTTGAGGGCTGTCATGCATTGCAAGGTTCCCCTTGCATCTTTCCTGTGCATCTTTCCTGTGCTTGCCCCTCCATCTCTCTCTTGCATTATGCCTGATTTCTCACACTTCTATGTCAGTTCTTACTATTTCCTTATTCAGCATCTCCCCTTTCCAGTCTTTATTACCCTACTTCACTCCATCATTAACAAGTTTGCATGTTCTTTGCATTCATGTCTGATGCAGCAGTCCAAGAGATTTTACACCCAGCCTTTCTTCCATATACGCTGATATCTCAACAGTTGCACAACCCAGTGCAGTATGGTTAACATCAAATTACTCCTGCCTTTTTCAATTACTTGATCATTACGACATGGTCTTAAATGCAGTGGACGACAGGCCAAATGCAAATTTAGTTTACGCTGACTTGGCAAAAGCATTTGACAAATGCAAACATGGTTTAATAGCTCACAAAATGTGTACAAAAGGAATAATTGGAAAGGTGACCAGATAGATATTGAATATACTAATGAACAGAATTCAGTGTAATAGTAAACAGTGAAATAAGAGACTACCATAGGGTGTTTTCCCTCAGGACACACTCCGGGTAAGTAGCTAGACAAACTGTGACTGATTTTGAAAGTTTTCGTACTCTTGCAGCCTGCCCTGGGGGCCAAGGTCTTCTGGTGCTTGCCTGGTCTACCAGGCTGTTGCTGTTGGTAGTGCATTGGTTTATAAACACCTTAGGGTAAATATGTTCCAAGGGATGGCAATGTTAACATTAGGTATATTTCTTTTACAGTTGGTGTTGAAATGATAAGGCGAAAGCAGCGCCCCTAGTGAGGAGAGGAGGAATCACCTCTACACAAGGTAAGCAACCATATACCCAGCTTGCTTCTCACTCTCATCCTTGCTTTAGTAAACCCTCTACACTCTACAGTATAAGGCTTCAAGGAAAGCTGCTGAGCTGTGTGCAGCGAGGACCATTCTCCACACTAGTCAGGCTGTTAAGAGGAAAGCCTGATCTGGGATTGGTCTGTGGGGTGGATGAACTCAGCAGAACCATCTACAGACAACTTATTATTAGCCTCTGATTTAGAGGTTTTAGTCATTCTTGATTTTAAGTAATTTAGTTCATTCATTTTACCTACTTGATTACTTCCCTGTTGATTATTTTATGGTTTGGTGGGTCATAGTCCTCATGGCCCACTGTCACACAGTTGACATAGTCATCACAGCCTGGCTGGTCTATGGAGGAACTGATCATATTTTCTCTGGCAGACAAACAAGGGTCTGTTGATAATTACCCTAATGTTATATTATGAAGAGTTTTTCTGAGGTATACACTGACAATATCATACTATTGGGTTGTGATACCTGTGTTGGACTATGGGTTACTATCACCAACTGTTTAAATCATCAACCAGGACACCTGGTTTTGGGCCGGGCAGGTAACCAACAGATAACCACTTGAAATACCTCAGTGACAAAGAATGTTTTAGTCAAATAGAATGAAAGGAACACATTAAAGACTTGGGGATAACTATGTAAGCTGACCTTGCTTTCAAAGAATGTAATAAGACAAAGGTCATGACAGCCAGGAGGATGACAGGGTGGGTATTGAGAACCTTCAAAACAAGCTAAACAATGCTAATGGTGACTTTTCAAATCGCTAGTGCTCCCTCATTTGGAATTTTGCTCAGCGTTGATGGCCCCGTTCAAGGCAGCAGAAATATCGAAGCTTGAACAGCACAGAGATCGTTTATTGCCCACATAGAGCCAGTACAGCATTTAAAATACTGGGAATGCCTTAGTCTTGAATATATACGCACTGGAATGGAAGAGAGATACCTGGAAAGTAATGGAGGGCCTGGTCCCAGATCTTTACACTACCGTAACAACATACTGGAGTGAGAGATATGGGAGGAAGTGCAAAATAAACCCAGTAAAAAGCAGAAGTGCAGTGGGCACAATAAGAAAACAGTGTATCAGCGTTCGTGGCCCCAGAATATTTAACATCTTACCAGAAGATGTCAGAAATACTGCTGGAACAAGTGTAGAAGTCTTCAAGAGAAAACTGAACAAGTATCTTCATCAGGTGCCAGATCAGCCAGGCTGTGATGGATATATGGGGCAGCAGGCCTCCAGCAGCAACAACCTAATTGGCCAGGCTAGCACCAAATGAGCCTGGCCCATGGCTGAGCTCTGGGAGTAGAAAGATTCTCAAAACTCATCAAAGGTATATCAAGAACAATATTGGTAGGGCTAGACTGTTGAACACTACCACGAGATGTCAGATACATTGCTGGAACAAGTGTAGAAGTTTTCAAGAGGAAATTGGGAAGAAAAAGCTATCAAGGATATTGCAGAAAAGCAAATATTTCTATACATATGCAAAAATCCAAGCTAAGAACTATCTGTAGAATTGCACCATTAATAATGGAAAGTTCATATTTGGAAGATGAACGGGAAATGAGCGAAATTCTAAAAAATTAATATGAGGTGGTGTTTGGCAACCCACTAAATAAATGCAAAAACTTTCTTCATTATCTGAATGCTGCTCGGACCAACTAACTGACATTAGTACTGATTTTATAGAATTTGAACAAGACATAGAAAACATGCCCACTCGTCCACCACTTGGACCAGATTCATGGAATTCCCTATTTATATAAGAAGTGCAAAATACCACTAGCATGAGCTTTCAATATTCTTTTGAGAAAGAACTTTGATCTAGGTGAAATACTAGACACTAAAGAGTGCAGACATAGATCTTTTGTATAATACACAACCCGCACATAAAAGAGAGAAGCTTACGACGACATATTGTGCCTTTCTGTTATTTATTTATCCTTTGTATAAGAGAGGAAGTAGAACATTAACCAAAAATTACAGACCAGTAGCCCTAACATCCCTAACATGATGAGATGTGATCATGGAGTGATTGCAAACAAAATGAGGTCCATAGGCATAACAGGTAAGGTAGATAGACGGATTTTCAAGTTTCTAATACACAGAATGCAAAGAGTAATAGTGAACAGATCAAAATCTAGCATCATAAAGGTAATAAGCTCAATTCCTCAAGGCACTGTCCTGGCACCTTTTGAGCACACATACAGAGGTACAAAAAAAAATACAGATAAGAGCAGCATGCCAAAGCCACTTATACTATGCATAGCATTACGGGCTGGCTTAAAATTAACTTAAGATTAACTAAGCAATGATGAATTCAGTGATAAAACATTAATGTAAACAGATTACTATAAAGCACAAGTGAGTATTACAAAGACAGGTCATATGGTTGCATTCAGTCATATGAAGGATTCTGTTAGGTAGTGTATTTAAAAAATAATAAAGTTAGATTCGGTTTTAGGTTTAACATTTATGTGATATAATTGTGAGAAACATTTAAGATATCAATTTATAAGGTTAAAGTTATTCAGTATTTATTTGGTTTTGGGTGAGTAAGTGATCTTTGAGTAGAGACTTGAATTTATAAACAGGTAGTGTTTCTTTTATATTTACAGGTAATGAATTCCAGATTTTAGGGCCTTTTTATGTCATTGAGTTTTTGCATAGTGTTGAGATGAACACGAGGAACATCAAAGGGAGTGATCTGTCCCCTTGTGTTATGGTCATGTGTTCTGTTGAGGTTGGCAAGGAGATGTTTGAGGGAGGGTTAATATCAGAGTTAAGTGTTCTATGTATGTAATAGGTGCAGTAATAAGTATGGATGTTTTGTATGTGAGTAGGTTAGTGTATTGAATATTGGTGGAGTGTGCTGCCTGTAGTGAGAATTTGTTATCATTCTAACTGCAGCCTTTTGTTGGGTAATTAGGGGTCTGAGATGGTTAATTGTTGTTGAGCCCCATGCACAAATTCCGTAGGTGAGATAGGGGTAAATAAGAGAGTGATATAGGGCCAGGGGGGGCTGACTGTGGAACATAGTACCGTATCTTGGATAGAAAGGGCCTACAGTCTTGGAAATTTTCTTAGAAATTTTGTTGTAAAAATGTGTATGAAATTTGAGTCTATTATCAAGGTGGATTCCTAAGAATTTTCCCTCTGTTAGCTTTGTGATAGGTGATCCTTTATCATTATGTTAAGAGGGACATCTGTAGCTCTGTTACCAAACTGAATGAATAGGTTTTGTCAATGTTTAGTGTAAGTTTGTTAGTCCTCATCCAGGTAATATTTTCTGTAATTCGGTATTTACAGTAATGGCTAGTGTGACTGGGCTCGGGTGAGAGAAGACGTATGTAGTGTCATCTGCAAAATAGTGTTGGGTTTGAGTAATTGCGAAGCATTTGGAAGGTCATTTATGTATAGGAGAAAGAGAAGAGGCCAAGGACACTTCCCTGTGGGACACCAACTGTAATTGGTTGCGCAGAAGATTTGCCCCATTTGCTACACATATTGGCTTCTGTTGCTGAGGTATGACTTGAGGTAGTTGAGGGAGTGCCCTCTTATACCATAGTGTGACAATTTTACGTGGAGCAAGTCATGGTCAACTGTATCAAAAGCTTTACGTAAGTCAATGAAGATCCCCAGTGGGACTTCTTTTTTCTCTATTGCAGTTTTAAAAATATTTTTCAAAGCATGTGTAAAAATAGCATCATTAGTATTTTTATTAGGCCTGAATCCAAATTGGCAGGTTGAGTAGTTTTGGGAGATAAGGTAGGAGTAGATTCTTTTTATGAATTAATTTTTCGAAGATTTTTGAGAGAGGGTGTAAGTTGGATTTTGGGCCTATAGTTATTCAACTGTTTGGTCTCCTCCTTTGTGGATCGGGGTGACCCTTGCTTTTTGAGTACTGTAGGGAAGGTGGAGGATTCGAGGGATTTTTAAAGAGTGTTGCAATGATTGGAGATAGCACTTGTGACACTTTTTTGTATATAAAGGGTGGAAAGGGTACTTAAATCTCCTGCCTTGTTTTTTAGTGCATTGAATAATAAGGGAGACTTCGTATGGGTTAGTCGGAGCTAGGAACAGTGTGTTCGGGTAGTTGCCGGTGAGGTAGTCATTTGGTGGGGTATCTGAGCTTGGGATTTTATTGGCAAGGTTTTGTCCTATAGGGAGAAGAAATCATTGAGTCTGTTTGCTGTTTCTGTTGGTGGGAGTTGGGGGTTTCATCTGATTTTGCTAATTTTATTTCGCTATTTCGTGATATCTTTTTTGTTCCCAGAATTTCTGATAGGGTTTTCCAGGTCTTTTTTATATCACCTCGTAAGTTGGATAATCTGTTCTCATAATACAATTTTTTTTGCCCTTCTTATCAGGCTGGTTAGGATTGACGAGTAACGTTTTGTTTGGTCTCTGGTTATGTGACCCTTCTGTACTGTTTTTCATATTGGTGTTTTGTATTTATGGATTTGAGAATGCTGGGTGTTAGCCAGGGGCTGTTCAGTCTCTTTGCTGGGCATCTGTTTAGTTTTTTTAGGGCAGTGCTTGTTTTTAGAGGTATTGGGTCTTTTTTTGAAAATTATTAATACATTCGTCAATATCTGTATAGATTTCTAGCTCAGTGTGCCAATCAATGTTTGCTAATGCTGTTGTGAAGTTATTAATGGCTGCCTCATTGTGAAGTCTGAAGGTGACTTTAGTAGTGTCTTGGGGTAGTTTACCAAGAGTTGTTATGAGGAAAGTAGGGTAGTGGTCTGTGGTATTATCTGTAATTATGCCAGATTTTAAAGGGGATATGGTGTTGGTCCAGATGTGGTCAAGTAGGGAAACACTAGTCTCTGTAACTCTTGTAGGTTTTGTTACTGTTGGTAGTAACATACAGTTACTCATTGTGTTTGTGAATTCAGTAACGTGTGGGTCCTGGTCTTGTAGGAGATTTATATTTATATTCTGTTTTGTATCCTCAT